GGTAGGTAGGTAGGTAGGTAGGTCGAAAGGTCGAAAGGTCGAAAGGTCGATAGATAGATAGACAGACAGACAGACAGACAGAAATGGTAAGATGGAGACATACAGAGGTATATGTAGATAGATCGATGGATGGGTAGATAGACAGACCAGACAGACACACAGACGGACGGACGGACGGACGGACGGACGGACGGACGGACGGACGGACGGACAAGCAGCCAGCCAGACAGACAAACAGGCAGAGAATTGCAAATCATATGCCGGCCTGTCCGGCGGCAGCGTGCAACATAGACAGAGCCGAACTTCCCGGCCCCCAGGCGTTTGCCGACGTCGATGTCCTACGTGAATGCACTGCACGGTCCGTGATCACGATGCCGGTCATGATAGAAAGTGACATGGGATACCAGTACATGTTATGAGTTGTTGTAACCTTAGGAGCCATCTTATCTACAGTCACACATCATGGCACTCCAAGCATAAGAAGGACGTAAATCACGTGCTGCGGATCGCTTGTGATGTAGCAAGTGTGGATGGAGCATGCTCGAGGGACACTAGCAACTGCCCAAGCCCGTCATTCAGCGAGAACCAGGGGATCTCGGTGCCCAGCGCCATGTCCTCACCACACACTGAAAAGACTGCACAGTTTGCCAGAATGAGGAGAACTTCTCTTGCAGTCCTCTGGAGGCGGTGGCTGCAGATCTCGAGGGCTCACGATTTCTATGCCCTTCTCACCTTAGGTGCCACATTGAACTTGGGCCACACCCTAGATTGGGCGTTGCTTCCGAACTTGCAAGCGAGTCTCCCTTCACTTTGTCTGCCTTGGCTTCAGTTCACAACTCGAAGCAAGCATTGAAGAGGCTTGACGGAGCCACTCTTGGCCTGTTGACCTGCTGTCTTGCAGTCTTTGAATTGAAATTTAGGCAGGCTGCACTCTTGCGTCGCTTGCAGGGCGGCGTGTTTTCCTTCCCGCCTTCCTGCAGAGCGGCGTTGTTTGAGCCGGTCTGCGCATGACACGGCAATGAAACGCAGAAATTGCGTATAACAGCCTTTGTTGACGACTCCAGGCCCAGTGCGGCATCGGGATCACCTTGCATCCTGGACGGCTACAGCTACGGCTCCAGCGCGGCGATCACTCGGCACACAGACATGAAACTCAGCAAACTTCCAAACAGTGCACCTTGAAGTGCTCGCCTTCGATGTGCGAAGTGGCTCGGCAAGCGGCAACCACGAGGCCACCGATGGCCACGGTAACTACACTCAGAGAGCAAGTTTCGAGCCCAACATGGCCCGAATGTCACGAACCAATATTCAATAGGCCGGCATGATGCTAGGCTAGACCTCTTCATGTTTCGCTTTGCTTTGCAGCGGGTTCTGAGTGGGTCCCGCTTGGGCTTCGGACCTGATTGTCCTTCGACGCTTTGAAGGCCGCCTGGGCCCCGTCAGGGCTCCAAAACCTCGGCTCTCGGCTCTCGGCTTCCATGAGACGCTTAAGCCCCCGAAGATGAAGATGCGAGCTGCCGGCTTGATGAAGCTGGGCTCTGACCGGCGAAGTAACGGAGGTGGGATGAAGAGATAGTCCACCTAAGGGCAGCCAAAGCAGCTCGCCAAGGCACAAACTCCGAGACCCTGTGCCTTGCCGAATCTGCCGAACAGCTCCTGACGAACACTGCGAGGCTACCCGGCCATCCTGGCCTCAAAATCTCCCACTCTCCCTTCGCCTCTACCTCGCTGCAGCGGCAATTCTCCGGCAAGCCAGGCAAAACGTCGATCTCACACATCAGGGGCTTCCTCTCCAGGCATCTCACTGACCAGACAAGCGTTGACGCACCGCAAAAGAAGTGTCTTGAGAACTGGCACCCCTGGAGGGAAGTCCGGGCGCCCGGCCTCACAGCACGAGCATGTGCCGGCCGGGTTCGCCCCCGCAAGCGTGCCAGTGTTTGCCGTTCCTAATCAAGGCGAGCCGTTGCGAAGTCCTGTCAAGCTGCTGAACCAGCTATGTAGGATGTGGCCGGATGAACATGATCTGATCAAAACCTGGGCGTCTTGTTGACCGAAGTGCTTTCTTGAACCGAGGACGAGGCAGCCAAGCGAAGCTTGGATTGCACTGGTAGCAGGGCTACTCGGCTGCTGCAACTCCTAGGCCCTAGGCCCTCGGCCAGGCATGATTGCACGCAAGGCGGATAGCTTGCACAAGCCGAAGCTCCCCTGCAACGGCGCAGCTTTCGCATCGGGGTAAACGACTGTCTGAGAAACGGGAACTGAAGCATGCAAAGGTGGAGCAGAAATTTGCTTTGGACTCGGATCAGACTTCGCACTACCTGCATCAAGATATGGGACAAGTGTCGGTAGTAGAGCTGACACTTGAGGTCAACAGTCTAGCTTTACGGTGTCGAAGCTTGAAAGCCTGTCCACCCGATGCCATTTCTTGGCTGGAGTTTGCGGCAGCAGCGTCTACGAAACGGAATTTTCCAACTCGAAAAGGGGCTTCAGAAGGAGGAAAAATCTGTCACCCCAGCCAAGCCAATCCGATGTGACCTGACTCAAAGCAGCAGCGCATCATAGGTGCTCCAGCGACTTTCGCAAAGGCACCTCGAAGCCTTTCTTCTGGTAGAAGCGCAGGGCAGACCTCTGACTCCGCGGGCTTGACATCATGCAGATTGAGCACAGTTCGACGACACCCCCTTCACCCCTTCACTCAATGTACCGAAGGTTGGAGATGCACGGAGGTCCCGGCCAGTTGTCGCGGTGGACGTGCAAAGCTATGAGTCGCAGGCCCCACGCACGAGCCTGCACCGAGCAGGATTCTGGGTTATGACTGGAGCAAGGCACTTGATACTCTCGTATCTGCATCTTCTGTGTATACGGCTTGTACGACAGGTGCACTGGTTGCACTCCTTGTCCTCCATGAAAGACAGCAGGCGGGACGCCAGGCCAGCCCCGCGCCTTCAGAAAGCGTATCAGAGCGTGCACGTTTCACAGGCACAAGTGGAAGCTTCACATGGCAAGTTTTGCATGACATGAGACTGCACAGCAGGACCAGCTGATGCATGCGAGCTCTTTAGGGTCCGCAAAGTTGTACAAGTGTGTTGTGCTGTGCAAGCGCAGCAACAGAATGCAGCACAACCATTCTGGCGAACGTTGCTCACACAACAACTCTAAGGGTTCAAGGCAATGAGCACTCACAAGTTGAGGACTATGATCCAGTCGAGCCACGAATCCGCGAAGTCAGCAAGGAGCTTCAATAAAGCCTAACTGCTTAGATCCCGAAATCATCTCCTTTACACTGGTCATTGCTTGTCATGTTGCGCACGAGCTGTTCAAGGGCTCTTGATCCCAGGTTGGGTTCAGTACACATACCGAAATACTGAAACAATATACTGTATACTGAATTATACTGGTGGGACCAAAGCTCACAGATGAACCGAAAAAACCTTCCAGGCATCTTTGCTCTTGAATCTGTGGTCCCTGCTCTGTTTCAGTACATATACTGAATTCTGGCAGACCTATGCAGCATGCTGGCGCTTCTGAGCTGCTCGCCAGGCTCGGGATACGGCAATGGACTCAATGTATCCAACTGCCTTCCAAAGCCCTATGCATTCTTCAGATGCCGTTGAGGATTCAGCTTTCTACAGCCCTGTCATGCTCTGTCGATTGAGGCTACACATTGACAGATCGAGCTTCCTTGTGAGTCATCCATCTTCTCGATCCGAATCCCTATCGAAAGCACCCTTGGCCCTTGACCCTCGGCCCTCCTCCATGCTGCCCGCTTCCATCACCACATCCCTCGGGGAGCAGTTCGCGACGACTGAGGAAGCCGATGACTTCATGCAATTACTGCGTAAGGCTAACCCAGCCGATGCATCTCCAGACACCAGACAGGCTGGTTCAGACAAGACTCATGTCCACCGTGCAGGTCACGGAGGGCTGGCGGACAGGGAGTGGCTTTCATGGCACGCCCCGCGGAGCAACAACAACGACAACGACAACGAGGACGACAGCAACCGCCACCGCAACTGGCAACAACGTCTTGCACGGTGATCAAAAACAAATCAAACGTCCGGGATTAAAATCGAAAACAAATCAAAACGGAGATTAGGAAAAAAATCGAATGCCATATCTGCTGTAGGCTATTCTCAAGATTACCAACTCTCGGACCAAAAAGCAAACAGGGACTGAAAAACAAACGAACAAGGATACGGTGTTCTGCTGTCCAACCAGTGTCGCGGCACTGTGGGGCGTTGAAGTTTGAGGATCTTGTTTGTTTGGTGGGCCGGCTTGGGGGAGAGGGACACGGGTCGCAGTTAGCAGTATCCGTATTCCATAGTGACAGCAGCAATAACGCAACAGGTAATAGTAACAACACTAGCCGGAAGATTGTAGAAAAATGATAATAACTAATCATTGTAGTCATCAACATCGTCATCATAATCCGCGCTCCGTATTAGTGCGGGGGGCCCCTAGCATTAGCGGACCGCATGATGAATTTGGGGGGTCGGGTCGGTTGGTCGGTTGGAAACACGGCAGTGATTGGTCAGGAAAATTTTGCAGTTCGCCCGGACGACTCCAGCTCGAGGCCCAAAGGAAAGGCAAGCCCAGGAAAGTTTCCAGCAATCGCCCCGGGGAGGGCCTATAAGTCTGGAGGATTTATAAATCCGGAGAATCCCTGCTCCCGGAACACCCGTAAGGGGTAGGTCAGGAGGGATTGATTTTGGGCTTCCCCCCAAATAGGATTTGTAGGGATCGGAAGCCTCTACTAAGCCTCTCATTGCAGTAAAGTGGTCAGTTTTAAGCCTCTACGAAGCCAATAATTGCGGTGAAGTAGTAAGTCTTTAGCCTCTACTAAATGCAGTAAAGTAGTAAGTTTTAAGTCTCTACTGAGCCTCTATTTGCAGTAAAGTAGTCAGTCTTGAGCTTCTACTAAGCCTCTAACTGCAGTAATATAGCAAGAAACAAGCCTCTACTAAGCCTCTCATTGCAGTAGAGTAGGAAGTTTTTAGCCTCTAATACGCCTCTAATTGCAGTAAAATAGTAATAAATTTTGGGCTCCGAACTCCCATCGCAAGCTCCAAAATCTTTTTAATGGCCAAGGGACGAAATTTTTGCCTTAAATATAATGTTTTCTGAGCTGTGCAAAACCCGGTTTTCCTCAAAAAACCCTTAAATCACGAACTAATTAAAAACATTATCATCATCATCGTCATAGCCAAGTCATAGCAACAACAATCGTACGTCGTACTGATCGCAGCAATAATGAATATTTTCATTGTTGCTGCAATAGACAGACCGTGATGAACATGATAGTACGGGTGACAGTTTCTGGAACAGCAAGCACGACAGCAATGGAGCCACTCTAGCCGAACCTTGAGACCTGCAGTTCAAATGGCTAGCAAATACTGTTATTCTTACAGCAGTACACTATTTGAAATGTTGCTTGATGCCTATTTGATGTTTAAACCATATTTTCATATGTGACTTTTGATGCCTACCCCGACCACAACCACAACCGCGACCGGAAGCCTCCTCCAGGTCATCGGTCACGTGGCAGCCCTGAGCCGCGCCCCAGGGTCAATGACGCAGGGTTATCTCGGGTGATTGTCTGCCGTGTCCCACCTCTGGCAATCGCTTAACCCGTAGCACAGATGCCTCGGCACAATGCAAGCCCAGCAACGTGTTCCATTCTGTCGCGGAGTTCCCAAGGCCATGAAGAAATCAGAGCCCGTCTCATCCCTTCTCAAGCCTTCAAGACTCAGCATGAGCATCTGCTGGGGGTCCAACCGCGACCATCTCACTGCTGCCTTCGATGGAAACAGAAACTGCAGAAGCGGCTCTCGAGGTCTCGGGATGTCTGCGTGTATCCGACCTGGAGCTCGCACCAGCAAGCTAAGGCCGTAAGTGTCGATCATCTTGCCGCATTCCAGCACAACCTCCGGCCCATTCTGCACGGCAGCGAGGAGCCGTGAAAATGGCGCTGACGCGGGGGTGTGCAACATGCACGCCTACCTCTTGGGGTGAGTCGACGGAGAGCTCCGGGCGGTCATCGCTCAGCGAGTCAAGCACCGTACCTGCATTCAGTGCAGCAGTTCTTGGTCGAGATATATGTTCATCCGAACACCTCTACTTTTCCTGAGGCTTGAACCTGTGGGCCCTGCTTCCATCTCTTGGATAGCACAGGCTTCATAGTTGCTCCATCCCGACAACCTGGCGGAGTCTATCTAATTTGCACCGTTTGTGAATGTTATGGAGCCGCGGCCATGCGCTTAGATTCAGCTTCGGTGGGACTATGAGCATCTAAGACGCTGGCGTCGTGGGAAACGAAAAAACTTGGAGAACCGAGGAGACCTCGGCAGGACTGCATGCGCGACTGCTTCAGAAGTCAGCTTACATGTTGGATTCACTTGAACTTCTCTTAGGATCCTGGGAGTCCAACGATGAAGTTCCGCTCGAACATCATTGACGGCACCTAGAACGAAACGCCAAAAGCGTCTAGGACCTAGGAGTGCTGGAAGTATGGCCCAGGCCTCTTCCACAATTTGGCGGGTGGAGAAGGTGTACTGCTCCCAGAGCCTGATCCGCGGCCCGTGAGCCCTCGACAAGTCCAAACACATTCAATACAGCAGACATGGACAGTTGGAAAGATGTGAGACTTAAGAGATGACGATGGAAATCGATGTCAGGTACATCCAAGTTCACGTCTCCGAGTTCACCGTCGATTTGTGCCAACAACTCTTCCCCTAAACGCCCGAGTTTGTAAGCCACATCTATGAAAGACATGTCTATCTAGCTCATCATTCATTGGTCAGTCTCTCTCTCCATCCATGTAGCCACACAGATGCGCAGATAGATGTGCATGTGTACATACAGACATACAGGACACACAGTCACAAGCATGCAAACGAGCAAACCAACATACATGCATGCATGCGTGCATGCATACATACATATACATGTGCATACATACAGTGCAAAGAGTCATGGCTGAGGCCCAAGCTCGGGAAGAGAGGTGACCTCTGCTGGGGTGGCAACTTCTGCGATTCCATGCAACCAACTGCCACCAAAAACCTGTCACGCTCACCCTCTGCAGGACTGTTCAGCCACGGCGCAGTCTCCAGTTTCAAAGCGCTGCCCTGGCACACAGGAAGCTCAGAAACAGAAAGGAAGTTCCTGTGCTGCACTTTGAAGGATGTGCGGGGTCTGGGACCTGTCAACAAGCTTAGAACTCCAGATCCTGCTTGGAAACAGCCCTTTATCTGGAAGCTCTAAGACTACTCCAGATCCGAACAGCCCGGCCACGGCTGCCTCCGCTGATTTTATTCCGAGACTCGCGCGAGTCGAGCTGCCTTAACGGCAGCTAAAAATTCTCAACTTAACAGTTGTCGGCCAACCTGTCCGCATGGTTTCCGGTGTGCCGTTGAGGCATCCGGCAGTTCAAAAGCGATGGACGGCTCTGTGGAGGCGGCAGTTCAAAAGCGATGGACAGCTCTGTGGAGGCACAGATCCGGAGTTCGCCATGAACAGCACGAGCGAGCTTGCCTTGAGAGTTCTCTCATCCCTTCGAATTCCGAGCGTCAAGCCGACGACCAAAAGTTTACCCAACGCCGACCAGTTCTGTGCCACTTTTTTTGATGCCGTGGGAGCATTTTGCGTCCCAAGCTCTGTGACAAAGTTGCGGTGATGTTGCATTCCAGACGCAGGCAACAAAAGGAGGACTGGGACGCGCGAAGTATGGAGGCTATTCAGACCGGAGCATGGCTTGCTGCATCCCATCCTCGGGGCACCGTGGCTGCAGCTTGTCGGGGATAGCACTCGGAGCCTTTAGCTCAATGCATCCTGTGTCTGCTGTCCGAGGGTGCTTTTGGCCTCATCAACAAAGGACCTCGCTGCTACACCGTCGAAAAGAAGTTGCTATGCTGCCTGGCACTGCCTGGTGATTGCACGACCCACGGACCCCACGGAAGACTCATTACAAACACTTCTGCCTGCGGCACCAAACCAGAATCCTCGCTGGTGCATCTCAGACTTGCATTGCCTCTCTTCTTGCGTCCTCCAGATAGCACTATCGACACTGCTGTGCAAAGCCACTGTCAGGCGACGAGGAGCGTTTGCGCACAGCGCTGTGCACGGGCAACGCAAGTACATCTGAACCCCAAAGGGGTGGTCTGCTTTATCAGCAGTTATGGATTGCGCTCAAGGAAAGACCCCGCCTTGGGCGGGGCATGGGCCGGCGCTGTTCCAAGAATTAAGGAAAACAAAAACTCCGGGAGAAGACACGATACGCCATGTCATACAATGGAGTACCATACAGTATAACACCATATATACAACATCGCAAAACCTCATGCAGTTGAATGTAAGATCACAAAATAAACATAACATCTACTATTTCTTTCAAGGTTTCCTCTTTTTCTCCCGAAGTCAAGGTGGCTCTGCCGAAACAGGCTTGCAAGCCTGCAGGGACACGGTGGAGACCTGGCCGAGCTGTTCTTGCCAACTGCGCCCTGTGTCACCGGACTTCAGGATTCATTCGGGGCTTGTTCGTACAAAATAGGTTTCCAGACGGCGAAGTGCATATCATGCCGAGTGCAGTGTTCCAAGGTCACATGATGCACTCAGACGCGATGTCAGCCAGCCCTACCCAAAACAAATCTGGCGACCCGCAACAGCCGCCGGACGAAAGCATCTCTGCAGACTGACTCTCGCGCATCTCTGGAGTTGAATGAGGGTTCGCGTTGATGTAAGCTTAGCGGGTTCCGAAGCCGCGACAAAGAGACTCCACAAATACAGTCAACGAAAGGTGCCTTGGCGCTGTCACAGCGCATTGGACACAACACCTGCAAGCAGGATGGCTTCTAGAGTACTACATAATGGCTTCTTGGCTGTCAACTGCTACTTCTTATCACCAACAACCAAGGCTACTGTGGTGCTTGGTGCCTGTTCCCGTTTCCTCTTCGCCGACGTGACATGCTCTTTGCTGAGAGCTTGTACCTCAGTAGGATCGGACGGCTTGCTGCATGCTCGCAGCATCTCGCTGCATAGGGCCTGTACAGGCAATATGCATCATACCTGCCTCTTCTAATCTGGCCTGATCAACAGGAAAACGTGGCGGGGCAAAGTGCTACATGTTCAATGTTGGGGTACGAGCTGGGGACTCACACCACACCATCTCTGAATGCAGAGCTAGTCACCCAGTTCTCCAGGCAGGAGCGGTGGAAGAAGTGCACACAGCGAGGTTGAGATACCTGGCACAAGCCCTCACGTCTCTTTCAATGGAAGCTCTTGCAAACAAAGTGTGCATCCGCTGCCCACCTCATCGCCCTCTTCGAAACCTTCCAGACCTCAGTGTGTGAATCGACATCCCTGTGCATGTGCCAAACTCCAGTCTCATGCCTGCGTCCTGCTCGTATATGCGTGCAACAACATGCATGCATGCGTGCACAAACGCTACATGCAAACATGCCGTCGGTTTCTGGACAACCACTAAGAGTCCAACAAATGGAGCAGGTAAGCGTTTCTGCCCGCTGCTGTGGAGCTGGAGCCTTCACTTTGAGAGCCAAGAACTCCAGCAGAAACAGGGAAGACCTGAATTGGAGTCCTGAACCGCGCTGCAGAACCCCCTGCGAATGCCTCTTCCTGCGCGTGCCCCTCTGCCGCCGGGATTGCTGTAGGCTCGGGCTTGTCCGTCTCTTCCTTCCAGACTGGCACAGACGGCTGCACCGAGCACCAAGAGCCGATACAGTTTGCGGCCGACCCGGAAGGGTCCCGGCACCTCCGGGACTTCCCCAGGCGCTGCCGAGTCCCGCAGTGCTGGTGTCAGAGGCTTCAGCTGACCCTGCTCGAACCTGACAGAAGTAGCACATGACTCCGATTCGAATGGAAACAACCTAGCTGCACCACGCCGTATTTGACAAATACAGCGCGAGCGGAGCTCGGAACTAAAGCCGTCCAATATTATTGTAGTTGCTTAGTGCCAAGCTGCAAACGTCTTCGCCTGAGGACGCGACTTGGAGGTGGTCATGTGCATCAAGAAGTACCACTCCACATCCGCCGTGAACTTCTTCTGAGTAGGCGAGGCTGCTGTGAGACTTGTCACGGGAGCATTAAGCTTCGCTCGACGCACTTTGCTGCAAATCCTGCTTTTCAACCTGCCTCCATGGCCACCGAGGCCGTATTGATCTGGTGCACGGACTGGATATGCGTGAACCTGGAAAACGTGCTAACAACAAATTCAGGCCTGGCTGCACGAAACGCTGCTGCAATGCGCTGTCACACGCTGCCACGCAAACAGCACGGCCATGGCACGGTGCTGCGGCCAACTGAAGGTTCGGTGTTTGACGTCCCCGCTTTTTCTGAACCTTCAAGCTCAGGAGCTCCCACCGCTGCACCAGCCGCAAGCGCTCGGCTGCGCATCGTCGACCATGGAAAGCCTGAGATTTTGGCCCTCAACATCTCAATGCGCGATGGCGAGGGCTTGCGATTTCGTCGCGTCTTCTTTGCCACAGAATGAATTGCAAAGCCAAAGAGCACAGGTGGCGATCAAGGCCTCTAAGACTATCAGGAGCAACGGCTGGAAAATACGCCTGGAAGGATGCAAGAAGTTCAGAATGAGGTTGATGCTTCACGATGTAGCCAAAGTCTTGGGTAATATGCTGGCACTCCACCGACCTCAGCATCCCTGAACCCTCCCGCGCCTGAGCATCAACCCCAAAGTCAGCAGCTCCGGCTCCGTCAACTGGCACACGACGGAAGTGACGGAAGTGGGCTGGTCTCCGGGCTCTCCTCTCAGGCTCCCCTTTTCCCCTTCTTCCCGGGCCTGCAGGATCGCCATGCAGATCAAGGTGAGGCCGTTGAGGAAGCAGGCAAACTCGGCGTTCACCCTCTGAGCATACTTAGTAACTAACATGACATCAGCCGAACGGTCGTGGGCCCACTTCGTGCCGAGCACCCTCTCCAACAACAAGACCCCACGAGATTGGGCTGACTTCTGCACACTCCGGCATTCTCTTCAGTATGTGCACCGGGTTACACATTGGAGAATCCTGCTGTCCCAGGGGCGGCCATAAGAGCATGCATCTCTCGAAGTTGCTTGCATCGCTCGGCCTGGACAAGTGCAGAACTTAGCAAGTCTTCCCGAACGAAATGAGTGCATGGTGCAACACTCATCGCATCTCAATGCAGCTGGGGCAGTGGCGTCTCAACATGGCAATACTGAAAACATGCAACAGACGACTTGCCTCCATGGCGAGGTCGGCTAGCGGCCTCCTGTTGCGGGATCCACCCTACCTGGGCGCCTTCACCGAAACCCAAGCCAATGCGCTCCACGACCCGGTGATACACCCAACTCAAATTACTGGCTGATAACCTGATATTGAGTCCTCCCGACGATGACCAGCATCCACAGGGCAAGCGTCAACTTGCCTCCAGCTGTCACGCGTCATGATCCAGACCAACCAGATCTTACAGTCGAACTAGATTAGATGGCTGAACGAGGCGGCCTAGCTGTCAGCACGATCAATTCTCACGTTCATCTTGACGAGATGTGTCTTTCCCGACATGTATGCTGCACAAAGTTTTGGAGAGTGGGAAGCCTCCCATCGTAGCCACAACCAGACCAAGCCAGACCTGGTGGGTTTCGACTTCCACAGATCAAGCAGCGTGGTCCTTCGTGCTTTAGTTGTGCATGCGGCTACTGACGAGTAGCTTTGTCACTCCCAGGCCCGGACTGAATCGAACTCCAGTGCCGCAACTGCCAGGGTGAGCGCATGGTTTACCTGAAGGGATGTGCGCTTGACGAGTCTTGCATTCTTCCAAGGGCTGACTAAGCACTCAACCGACGGAATGGGCAGTGCGGAAACCAACATCATTTCACCCAGCCGACCCATCATCGCATTCACGCTGCTCACTCCCGGATCGAATTTGCAAAGAAGATGAAAGACTAACAGATGTCAATGTGGACAAGCACCGTAACACCAAGCC